ATCCCCTGAGACATTCCACCATCCTGACAAACCGCATGGTGGTCAAGATTGGCCTGGCCGTGGTGCTGCGTGGCAGCATGCTAGCACTACCCTATCCCTTCCTGGTGAGGCATTGGCCATATTGCAGAACCAACATCATCCCCCATACGCACTGTGAGCACATGTATGTGGTAAAGCTGGCCTGTGCCGACATCCGCATCAGTAGTTACTATGGCCTATTTGTGCTATTCTGTAGGATTGGACTGGATGTGTTTTTTATTGTTGTGTCCTATACCCAGATCCTCAGGGCCATCTTCAGCCTCCCCACAAAGGACGCCCGGCTCAAGACTTTTGGGACCTGCGGCTCCCACCTCTGTGTCATCTTAGCCTTTTACATCCCAACTGTCTTCTCTTCCCTCACATCCCGATTTGGGCACAATTTGCCCCTTCATTTTCACATTTTTATTGCCAACGTGTACCTGCTGGTGCCCCCCATGCTAAACCCCATCATCTATGGGGTGAGGACCAAACAGATCCGGGACAGGCTGCTCAGGCTCTTTACTCATAAAGAGACCTAAAGTTTTCTCCTGGTGCTCTAAGTCTGAGACGAAGCTCCATGCAGACCTGGCTGGTGACATGGTGCTAGGCCGTCTTCCCTGAATCACTTACTGGACAGTCAAAGAGACAATAAACCCTTTCCCGGCCTTACTGTGCTTTCTCAGAATGACATACTATGGAATTGGTTTATGGACAACTCATTAACACATAGGGTTGCCACCTATCTAATTATAATTCTAATTGTAACTGGACGCCTGTTACACCTGGAGACCTGCTTCTTTCCCCACCTTTTCCCCCCAAATCCCCACTGCTGCTCCCCATCTTCTGTCAGGGTTCCACCCCTGTTTCCTCCCCCCCCCCCCCCCCCCCGTCACTCTGTGGATCATCTATGTGATGGGTTCCCCCCTGGGGTGCCACCTGGAACTGAGGTAGAGCTGAGCTCTCTGTCTCACCAATCTGGGTTCGCTCTTGCATTGTAATATTGTGACAAGTTGAAACCCTCCAAGCTTTCCTGACATCAACATCTACAGGCAGGGACCACCCCAAATGTGTTCATGACTGCCCTGGCCAGCCACTCATGAAACCGCAATAGAGAACCTACAGCCACAATACTCCCAGCTCCCCAGCCTAAGACCCCAGACCTCTACTGTCCTTCCTTGGTCAAAACCTGACCAGTATGAATTTATTACCCAGTCCACCATTTCTACAAAGGAAAACAAATGTGCACCGACTTTTGTGCATGGGCTGAGATTTTTCCCCTTTTCACTTCAAACAACAGAGTATGTTAGGTAAAATATAAAATAGGTTTTTTAGCTAGAGAGAAAGAGAGCTTTTAAGTGATTATACATGAAAGGAAACAGATCCAAGTAGATTATCATAAGAAATAAAACAAAACCACAATCTAAGCTTAATGTGCTAGTTAGTGTTTGAATCCAGCAGTGTCTCACCCAGTTAGGTCATACAAGCAGGATGAGCATTTGCCCCCCAGGGAGCCTGATCCTGCACCATCTTTTTCCTCCGGTACTTTCAGGTGTGATAACTCTGTCATCATGTGACTTCTCCCTTTTATGTCTTCTTCCAAATTGCTAGAAAGCCCTTTTGCTGTAACCCAGGTCAAACAGTTCCCATTGCGCAGTGCAGCATGTGAGTTTGAGGCCTGAATTAGGGTCTTTTGGTAGCAGCATATTAGAAATAGTAAACTTCTGTACCAGTGACCCCTTTCACACAGCAAGCCTCTGAGTGTGACCCCCTTATAAACTAAAAACGCTTTTTAATATATTTACCATTAGAAATGCTAGGGGCAAAGTGGAGTTTGGGGTGGAGACTGACAGCCCAGGACCCCCCATGTAATAACTTTGTGACCCTCTCAGGGGTCCCAACCCCCAGTTTGAATATTCTTCTCATTCCAAATGTTTGTGTGGTTGATCGATCGTTCATAATTCTGTGGTTCATAATTCTAAGGTTCTACAGTAGATGCTGTTTTACATCCTCCTTAACAGCTAATGGACTGGAAAGTATTTCATCACCTCATGTGATAGGAGTACCTCATACGGCTTCTTTCCGAATGCAGAACAAAACTATTTCTTGAACACATAATTGCCCTATGCCTTTTCTAGGATGTCATTTGTCCTGGTGTAGTGCCATTTCGGAGAGGTTTCTATTGTATACATTTCCTGGGTTAATCCTTGTGCATTTCCTCAGTAAGCCATTAACATCATTTGTCCTATTTCTTGTTGTACCTGAAGGCTGCTTGTGGGTTTTCCCAATCTCACAACGTATTTTAGTAGCACATACATAACTAAATGTCATAACTTCATATACAATGACAGGACATACAACTTAACAGGATATTAATGTTAAACAGATGAAGACTTTTAGAATGAAATCTCACAAGGCATCCATTGTACATGACATACCATTATTATAAAACAGTGGTGGATATGGGGGTGCTAGGATATCACAATCTCCACCTCCCTCCCCCCAGCTGGGCTCCCTCTGCTCCGGGGCTGGGATGGGAGCCTCTGAAGCCTGACAAGGAGCCTGCAGTGAGTGCAGCCAAGACGCACTGGGGCCGACAAGCCAATCTGGAGTGGTGAGGGAAGCCAGGAAGCTGAATAAAAGCAGCTGAGGGTTGGGAGCAGGGTTCTGAGGCAGACGAGTGAGATTGAGCATCATACAGCTTGTGTACCCTAAAGCTCAGCTACAAAGTCCTGAAGGAAGAGATCCATTGTGTGGCTTATTTCCTTAACTTTCAGCTCCCTTTTGTTCTTCCCACCTGGGAATGTGTAGCCCAGGGGTCGGCAACCTTTCAGAAGTGGTGTGCCGAGTCTTCATTTATTCACTCTAATTTAAGGTGTCGCGTGCCAGTAATACATTTTAATGTTTTTAGAAGGTCTCTTTCTATAAGTCTATAATATATAACTAAACTATTGTTGTATGTGAAGTAAATAAGGTTTTTAAAATGTTTAAGAAGCTTCATTTAAAATTAAATTAAAATGCAGAGCCCCCCAGACCGGTGGCCAGGACCCGGGCAGTGTGAGTGCCACTGGAAATCAGCTCGCGTGCCGCCTTTGGCACGCGTACCGCAGGTTGCCTGACCCTAGTGTAGCCCTTTGCCCTGAGACTGGCCTCGGGGTCAGGGCAAGGGATCAGCTTTGAAGCGAGGAGGACAACAGCTGAGAGAAGTGGAAGAATCAGCCCCTGCATTAGTTGGGAAGGTGGGATGCTGGGCAGAGGCTGGGGTGTCTGCGGTAGCTGTCAGGGAGGGAGATAAATGGCACACCTGCCATTAGCCGACTATTCACACACATACACGATGCTTTTGATCACTACATCTAGAAGCTCTTTAGCTAAGCTGCTAGGCAGCATTCTCCCCATGTCATGGATGCACTGAGTTAAGCAGAAGTAAAGTGATTTCGTAAGCCCACACAATGAGTCAGTGGCAGAGCTGAGAATAAGGAGTCCTGACCCCCCCAGCACCATTGCTCTGGCTATGAACTGGCACTGTTCCTCTAATACCAGTAGATCAACAATAACCATAACTTCAGACACAAAGATGATACATACATATAAACAGGATAATCACACTTAGCAAATCATAGCTTTCCCATTGACTCCTGACTCCTTCCCTGGAGGACGGGAAGAGCAGATATAAACCTGTTCTGCTGCAGGGAGCCTCCTCCTTGTACAGAGAAAGGAGGAAAGAGTTCTTTGAAAGTGACAGATGGGTGTCTGTGAACTTGGCTGTTTTCTCCAAGCGTTTCCAGCCAGCCCCTTGGCTTTGAACAACCTTAACTTGTGTTTGACTAAAGCATCTTCCAGAAAGGCGTCCAGGGCTAGATCCACAAAGGCACTCAGGTAAATACTGAATGTAGGCACCACTGCCTTTCTCAAACCTGGCTCATCTGCTGCCTAACCCTGCAGGAGTCCAGCGGAGGACAACGAAAATGATTAGGGGGCTGGAGCACATGACTTATGAGGAGAGGCTGAGAGAACTGGGATTGTTTAGTCTGTAGAAGAGAAGAATGAGGGGGGATTTGATAGCTGCTTTCAACTACCTGAAAGGGGGTTTCAAAGAGGATGGATCTAGATTGTTCTCAGTGATACCTGATGACAGAACAAGGAGTAATGGTCTCAAGTTGCAGTGGGGGAGGTTTAGGTTGGATATTAGGAAAAACTTCTTTACTAGGAGGGTGATGAAGCACTGGAATGGGTTACCTAGGGAGGCGGTGGAATCTGCTTCCTTAGAGGTTTTTAAGGTCAGGCTTGACAGAACCCTGGCTGGGATGATTTAGTTGGGGATTGGTCCTGCTTTGAGCAGGGGGTTGGACTAGATACCTCCTGAGGTCCCTTCCAACCCTGATATTCTATGATTCTATGAACTACCCCCAATTAGGGAGATGAGCAGGCAGAGAGCTCACCTATGGGAATCCAAGTGCCCTCCATTTTTTTAGTTTCTCTGTCGGGGTGCCATTTAGGGTGGCCAGGTACTGGGCTTTCAGCTGGAATGTCTATTCCAAAAGGGGATCTGGCAGTGCATGGTTATTGAAGGGATGGGGGAGATGCCAGGTCATTAACCCATGCCAGCCCCGGCTCAGCTGGGGCTGCCTTGTACCTGCAGGCAGGATTCTTGTCAGGATTCTTTCTGAGCCCCGGAGTAGAGGGAGCTCTGCTGGGTAGGTGTATTGTTTAGGGAGCATGTGTGTGTGTGTGTGGGGGGGGGGTAATCTAACTCCTCCTGACTTTCGAAGCTAAGGTCTCCAGAGTCTCTGCAGTGGGGAGGGCGTGGAAGGAATGGAACCCCCCCAGAAGATGGAAAAGAGGGAGGTGGTATTGCTCCAGCCCTTTAAAAACACAGAGGTAGGATGAGCCAGAAGAAGCTGGGGCAGGAGAGAGGCACACAGTCAGCAGAAGGGACTCTTTGGTTGCAGGGCTCTGGCTGCAGCAGAGACAGACTCCAGCTGGAGGAGAAGCCAGGAGTGGCAGGAGGTGGCCCCTGGACACCCTAGAGGGCTCTGGGGAAATCCCAATGAATGTTCCGGGGTGGTGAGGACACACAGGCAGGGAATGGTGTACAGGTGTTCTATTGTGTTTACCAGGATCTTGGGATCTCTTGTTCTGTCTCAAGTAGAGGAATTGTTTTATCAACCACAATTGGGTGACACTCTAACAGCCAAGCAACAGAAATAAGCCCAGAGCCTAATGAAGGCCTTCCGCACAATTTTCACTGCACTCCCAGGCCAGATTACGGCTGTGTAGCACATTATCCAGACAACCCTTGGGCAAGCACTCCAAGACACCGCCTGACACCTCCTGCAACAGATGTGGGAAATCGTTAAGAAAGAATTCCAGGGGTGAGTTGGGGGTCATGAGTGATCATGGAGTAATGAAACAATCCCATTGTGCTAGTCTCGAACCTTGATGGGATTCTCTGATTCTGTATAGACTACCAGAAGGGAAATGTGATCTCAACGTTCGACGCATACCCGATGCCATGGACCGATGAGCACCTCAACAGTCT